TGGCAACATTGAGCAGTTATGAGCTGTTACAGGCTGCCATCTATATGTGAAATGAGAAATTACAGCGTCACCACCATGTGAGTTATTATAGATGTAAACATACAGAAATCAAGCCAATGAAATATCGCCCTGCACCCCCAGGCTGTTAGCATGCAGCTGACCTTCCAAGGTTTGGTCTTTAATAGACAGAAGAAGAGCTGTGTTCTGGTCAGAGAAGAGACTCCCCACCGTGAGCTTTCAGTTTCCAGCAGTGGACATACAGGGTCTTCTGTTGAGCCTGATTAAATGCCCACACCCCCTGCAGATCCTCTCTGTTCATAAGTGGTCTCTCCCTTTCATTTGTCTGTTAAGATTCTGTTAGGGGAGCCTCCCGCAAACTGCTGCACTTCATGACAAGACTGTTAAATCATCACCACAAGTGTACACAAAGCATCTTTTTTTAAACTTTAATGGTTAAAAGGTTTTTATTATTTTATCTAATGACTTGGCAGCACCATAAAGCCAATAATCATAGAGATGACTCCAATGAAGTGATTAGAGATTGCTTTGCTCTCCAGTTTGAAGTCAGTTTAAAATAACTAAATGCTTCTTTTGCTTAAAGATCTTAATGAGCTTTTTTAATTGCATATAAATTGATTTTTGTTATTCAAATACTTACTTTAAAAAGCTCCTGAAAATTATATAGTGCTGTTTAAGATCCAACCAAAGTACAACACAACAAAAACAACAATCTTTGTGTGGGATCCTTTGGGGTTTTTCATGGACATCTTATGACTTCCCAGCCTAACTTCCTCCACCTGCAGAGTTTCTTTCAGCCGAACTGAGTCATTCTGGGACTTCCCCCACCCTTGCCTTCATTTCTTAACTGCAGGGGAGCACAGCTCTCCCTCCCCAGACCCCTTTGTTTCTCAGAATATCAGTTCTGCTGATACACAGATTGCTGTTATACAGCTCTATATTCAGAATATGCATAAAATATGCACCAAAATATGCATACCTTACCAGCAAATTAAAGGGTTATAATCATCACCTCCTAAGTGAACCTTATTAACTTAAAGAGCCAAAATTTGTTTGAGTGTTTTGGGGTTTTTTCATGTTTTGTTTGTTTCACTGTCTGTTTTCTACAGGCTCGTACTGTAGCTCATGGTGTCCTAATCCCTTATTATCATCATCTTATTATCATGATAATTCACTTTTTGGTTCTGTGTAAGTTTTCTTTTTGAGTTTTTAAGTTAAACTTTGATTAATGTCATTCTGTGTTTTCCAGGTAACTGTTTTCATTTTCATTTTGTGATATTCTAGTTGTTTACTGGTTGTATTTGAGTTCTAATGTATTTGTCATTTACTCTCTGTTGCCCTCTTGTGTCAGTCTCCTTTCCCCTGGCTCCCTTCTAGATCCCTCTGTCCACACCTGCTCCCAATTAGTTGATTACTTCATCCTTTCTTCTTTTTTGCATATATTCCTTCTCTGCAGTTACTGTTTGCTGAGTTCTCTTCATTTCTTTATTCCCTCCCTAACCTATGTGTTCTCCTTTGTTTTGGTTCCTGTGTTTTCCTTATTTAATTATTTCAGGATTTATGCTTCTGTTACCGCCACCCATTAAATCTGCAAGAAACAACCTCCGCTTCCGTCTCTGCATTTGGGTCCTCTGCAAACATTCACTTAACCTGACACCTTATGATCTGCGCATAAGTAGTTAATTCTAAATAATTTTCTCTGAGGCTTTGTTTTATATATATGAGAAATATACCAAATACACCCTGTAAATCTCCCTAACACTAGAGATTTGACAAGGTCAATATGTATTAAACAAAAAAAAAACAACAACACTATAACAGCTTAATCTTTGTAACTAGGTAGACCAGGAGTCAGTAGTTGGAATCATTTTGTGTTTTTGCGTTTTCCAGTTTCTCACATTGTTGTTTTTGATTTTGGGGCAGTGTTCTTCACAGTGTTGCTTTAGTTTGATTATATAACACCCAACACAATTTCAGTATGTTTGTATTTACATTTTTGATGTTATGTGGTGTTTGGAATCATTATCTTTTTGCATTAACCATAGCCGACAAATTAGCTCACCTTTGACTTTTGACTTTTCACAGAGAAGTTTTTGGTCAACTCAATGGACGTTATATAACACCATTATTTGAAATTATTCTTCAGAGTTTGCAAATGGCATTTAACTTTTCCCAGATTGATGGGCAGCAACAATCACTGGTTGATTTTCTGTTAAATTCTTATTGATGACTTTTAAATGTGTTAAAAATCAGATATTTTATTTGCATTCCTCTAACATTTATGTTTCCCATACCTTAATGATTGTTTCACATATTTTTTCTTTATTGGTGTAATTATGGTCCTGAGTCTGCTATAGAGGATTTATTGATTGAATAATTTTCCTCATTCCCTTCTTTACTCTGCATCATCAGCTAAATCCTTACATTAGTGATGTTAAGGTCGTAAATATTGATTTAATCATGAGGAAAGTGGCTTTTTCATGCCTGATCTAAATGTCCATGCACACACCTTGACTGGAGGAAAGAAAATCCAGTAATGACAGAAAAAAATGTTGCTTTTATTATACTAAAAGGCTGTTATCATGATGGATGTTACTGTTACTGTCTTGAGCCTGGACTTTTGTTATAAGAATCATTCATCACTGTCACACAATTATGTTGCTCACCGGATGATAAATGTAAAAAAAACACCAAGATATATGTGAAAATGTGACTAATTGTTTTAGCATGTGTTGTCGCCTCATACAGCTAATAAATCCTTTAACTCTTGGTGTTAGATGTTTCTTTTTCCTACGTTCAGCATTCCCCCAAGCGCAGATTTGTGCTGGAAAGTTTCAGTACCCTCCAATTAAAGACAGAAAAAAAACATCTGCCATTAAAATAAATTGAAATTGACAAAACTAATGAAAAGAAATTATTTAAAAAATGGAAATCATGATATTAATACCGTAAATAAAACAAGTAATCAAGCCTGATGGAGCTCCTGAACTATACTTTTATTAAGCAACACTTTGAGGCGATTATTGAAATCAGGTGTTTTCCGTGACGTTCAGGAAATGTTCAGTCAGACTTCTGCACCTATTGACAGGTATGTAGTTTCAATGTTTATAATCCTTTCATTCGTCATGGAGATTTTGGGTTTTTTTACTTATCTTTTAAACAAAAAAATCAAAATCAATATTCTATTATACTAAAATATCACTTAGTATTTTCTTTATTTATTATTATTTTTTCAGTTTTGTGTTATTTGAATTACTAATGTGAATTTATCATTTTGTCTTAATGAGAGGGTATGTAAACCTTGAAGCACAACTGTATTTACATATGTAATAATTTTTACTGACAGCAATTATGCTTTGGTAATTTCAAGTAAAAGAAAATATCAAAATGTAAACACTCTGTTATAAAATAACTCAAATCCTTCCATGGACTTTATATAAGATACGTTTTTATTACATAATAAAATAGATATTAGATATAAATATAAATATTCAAATATAAAACTTAAGTGGGGTAGTAAGATTTTTTTGTATGCTCTTAATTAAATATCTATATGAATGAAAAAAAAAAAGTTCTGCCTAACATAAAGGGATTAGAATTATTGAATTTGTTTATGAATTTCTTTTCATTAGTTGTGTTACTTTTGTATTTTTTAATGTCTAGCTGAGGATGAGATAATAAAATTGCTGATGTAGGTGCCTGTTTTGCAGTAACGTTGCATTAAATTAAACAGATATTTCTTTTTTGTTCCTTTTTTAAGAAATCTGAACTCCATTACTTAACTCTGCTTGGATATCTTAAATACCAAAGCCAATCAAATCTCAACTAAATCATTCTACACTCAATGCAGATTCTTTGCAGCACCGTTATATGATATATGATGATATATGATATAAGAGTCCACTTTTCCTATCCTTTTTTATTGGGACTAACTCATGTTTGACCATTTTAGTATCCCTGAACAAAGTATTGTAGTTTACACACTTTGACTTCTCTCAAACAGGCCTGTGGTCTGAGAATAATGTAGACAAACCAGCGTTTGTCAGTGAACTTTACCGAGAACAATTAAACAGGCAGGATGACAGATATATATATATATATATATATATATATATATATATATATATATATATATATATATATATAAGCATTGGATCGTCGAATTTTTCCCATGTATGATTTCCTGGAATACATTTTTAAGGTGTCAAACTATTAGCAATTATTGGTTTGAAAGTCAGTGTTTTCTTTTTAGTTGCTATCACCTCATAATTGACAAGACCTGGTATTTAGAAATATGTAATTTACTTGCATTTTATCAAACTTATAACTTATTTACAAATAAGTAATAGCATTGAAAATTTCAAATTAAAGTAATATTCTGTTGTTACTGAGCTATCAAAACAAGTAATTGTGTATTACTATGTTAATGGAACAGAAAATGAACATAAGTAAATCCACAGAATTGTTCTCCATCTGATGAATTTGTTTCTGAACATGATGCCATGATGGATGCTCTGCATCTTTTGTCCATTCACACAGATGTCCATAAATAGAAAAGTCAAGTGTACCGAAAAAATAAATAAAATAAAAACAACTCACCTTAAACTTACTAAAATATGACTGCAGGAAAAAAAAAGAATACATTTTTTTCAATAAGATATGCTTCATTGCTTTTCTCAGAGACAGATTTCTTTTTTATTATTGTTAAATTTGAAAAGACAGCTTGAAGTTACAAATTGTTACCACTAGAGGGCAGTATTGTATCGTGTTTACCTTCTGGTTCCGCTTCTCTTTTATGACAGCTTGTCTGTTGTTATTGTAGGAAGGAAATATGCTTTTATTGAACCTTAATGATCCATAACGACAGTGTTACATTTTCATTTGTGTGTTTGTTGTTTTGTTTTTTAGTTCCTGTCTGATTTGGATTTATTTTCTCGTATTTCCGCACCATAGGTGGAGCCTGTCAGTGGGACTGCCCTTCTGACGTCTGGGGAAGTTGCTTAATACTGGAAAAGCACATTTCCTTTCACTGTAAAGCCCAATGATAGTATAATGCTTATATGCTTTTAGCTGCGCTATTTCCCCAGTTTATTTCCCTTTCATATGTCGGTGATTTTTACCAACATGACCGGACAGTAGATATCATTAGACATTGTTTGTCGGGATGAGCAGCTCTTTGACTTCCGCTACTTATGTCCGCAACATCAGTTACGGTCTGCGGCGTCAGCTGTCCGACTTCCTGGACCCTCAGGACAGGTGGAAGGATGTGATTGTTTCCATACGGAAGCCGAGCGGGGAGCAGCGGTACTCCCAGCTTCACGTTAGGTGCGTCATCTCACATCAGCTGCATGTCACATTCACAGGTTTCCAGAATATTATCAAATGCTTTCTTCTTGTGCTTGTAGGAGGTTTGAGTCTCTTGTAGCTCAGGGGAAGAGTCCCACCGTGGAGCTGCTGAACGACTGGGGGACCAGTAACTGCACAGTGGGAGAACTGGTGGATATTCTGAAGAGCCACAGCTTACTGGCTGCTGCCTGCCTCCTGCTGCCTGGTAGGGATGT